TCACATTTATTGTATTACCATATCTTAAATGGCTCCTCAACACTACCCTTGAATCCTACTACATTCTCCTACTAAATTTGCTTCCATACCAGACTGTTTGTTAGATTGTTGATATTTGAGCTTTCTGTTTTTTGGATGTGAGCATTTAATGCTATTAGTTTTCCTCTCAGGAATGCTTTCGCTGAGTCCCACAGATTTTGATAACTTGTGTCCCTGTTCTCATTTAGTTCGAAGAATATTTTGATTTCTCTCTGTATTTCCTCCTTTACCCAATAGTTATCCAACAATAGATTAATTTCCATGAGTTTGTGAAGTGGTGTGTATTTCTGTTGGAATTGAACTCTAATTTTATATCACTATGATCTTAGAAGATACATCATATAATTTCTATTTTTTTTAAATTTGTTGAGGTCTGATTTGTAGCCTTGTATGTGATCAATTTTGAAGAAAGTTCCATGAGCTCATGAGAAGAATGTATATTCAGTTTTGTTTTGGTGGAATGTTCTGTAGAGGTCTGTCAGACCCTGTTGTTCTAGAGCTGTGTTTAAGTCCATTATTTCTTTGCTTATTTTCTGTTTGGAAGATCTGTCCAGTTCAGTCAGTGGGGTGTTGAAGTCCCCGGATATTATGGCGTTATTGTTTATCATGCTATTTAGATCAGACAGGGTTTGCTTTATGTATCTGGGTGCTCCTGAGTTGGGTGCATAAATATTAAGAATTGTTAAGTCTTCTTGTTGGATCTTCCCTTTCACTATTATGTAGTGGCCGTCTTTGTCCTTTCTTACTTTTTCTATTTTAAAGCTTATGTTATCTGAAATAAGTATAGCTACCCCTGCTTTCTTTTGACTTCCATTTGCCTGGATGATAGTTTTCCATCCCTTCACCTTGAGTGTGAAAGCATCTTTGTGGGTTAGGTGTGTGGATTTTTATCCACTCGGCCAGTCTATGTCTCTTCAGAGGACAATTCAAGCCATTCACATTTATTGAGAGGATTGATATTTGAGATAGATGTATGTTCATATTGTTAGGTCAATTCCTATTGTTTTGTTTTACTCTTTGAGCCATCGTGGAGACCAGGTTTTAGCCTTTAATTTTTGAGTGATTTTACTTTGGAGAGTGTCTAATGCACTGTTCAGTGTGTAATGCAGGTCTGAGTACTCCTGTAGGGCTGGTCTGGTCTTCACAAATTCCATCAGTGTTTGCTTGTCTGGGAAGGTCTGTATTTCTCCCTCATAGATGAAGCTTAATTTTGCAGGTAGAGAATTCTAGGTTGACCATTTTTCTGTTTTAGAAAATTAAGGATAGGCACTCAGTCCCTTCTGGCTTGTAAAGTTTCAGTCGAGAAGTCTGTAGTTACTCTGATAGGTTTTCCTTTGTAGATTATCTGCTATTTTTACTGCATTGCTCAGAGGATTGCTTCTTTCATGTTTACTTTGGTCAGCCTAATAACTACATGATGTGGTGATTGCCTTTTCATATTGAGTCTCTCAGGAGTTCTGTGTGCTTCCTGTATCTGGATGTCTAGATTTCCGGCCAGGCCACGCATATTTTCCTCCAGTATTCCATGAAATAAGCTTTCCAGCCCTTGTATATTTTCTTCTTCTCCTCTCTCAGGGATGTCAATGATTCTTATATTTGGCTTCTTTAAATAATCCCACATTTCTTGTATGTTTTGGTCTTGTGTCTTGTTTCTGTGTTCTTTTCCTTCATCCAATTTGTTTAGCACATAAACATTATCTTCAAGCTCTGAGATTCTTTCCTCTGTGTGATCCATTCTGTTCTTGAGGCTTTCTGCTGTGTTTTGAAGTTCCTTGAAAGCCTCCTTCATTTCCCAGATTTCTGTTTAATTTTTTCGTAGTATTTCAATTTCTTTAGAGAATTTTTCATTCATTTCCTGTATTGTTCTTATGGTTTCTTTATGTTGGGTTTCCATCTTCTCTTCAATTCCATTGAGTCTGCTGACAATCCATATTCGGAATTCTTCCTCTGTCAACGTAATCATAACATGTAAGTTGTTATCTATTGATGGAGAGCGAATATTTTCTTTTGGGGGTGACTTTTCTCTCTGCTCTTTCATGTTTCCAGTTTTTTTCACTGATTCTTTCTCATCAGGCTACTTTGTTGAGAACTGATGGTGCTAGGGCTGGTTTATGGCCTTATCTCCAAGTCCCCAAAGGGACGTTCCTTGACAGTGCTGGGGAGATGCGCTCTGGTCCTGTATTGCCTTAGAGGTGTTTTAGCCTGTTGGGTTATCGCTGAGCTGTTGTCTTCACTTCTTGTCAAAGGAGATTAGTGAGTTTGGACCCCTTGCTTAAGCTCCCAGGTGGCGAGTCACTCTTGTGTGTGTGATTCTGCTGCCCTCCACTAGTTTGGGATGGAAGGCACTGTGTTGAGCTATGGGGTTACCCTCTCTGTTGTTTCTTGTAGTTTGCATGGAGGAGTCGATTATCAAGGTATTCCAATACCTTTGTGTTGGGCTTTATACCCCCAAATGGGGTATACCAGCACCCCAATCTTTGGGAAATGTCTCGTCACTCCCAAGGGTAACCCGAGCTCTGTTGCCACTTTAGGTGGGGTGAGAAGAGCAACAGGTGCCTGCAAGCCTGAGAGCGTATCCTTCTGTGGTTGCTTGATCTGCCGCTGGGGGAGAGCTGCTAGTATGCTATTCAGGGCTCTTTCGCCAC